AATAGGCGAGTTCGAAGAACCCTCGCCTAAGTTTTCAAGACGGCACTTTTTTCATAGTAAACAGATGTACCCATAAACCAATTTTGACAATAAACAGAAGCATGGTTTAGAAGCAAATTTTTTTTTAAATCACTTTTGACCAAAAAAGCACATTTTTGTGCACATTTCAAACTACAGTGTCCATTAAAAAAAAAATCCTAACAAAATTTCAAAATTCATACAATGAGCTTTCCGAAAATATATAGTTTTGTGGACAAGGGAGGTCATCTTTGTTTCCTACATGTGCAATGTAATCAACTAATTGGCGATCCGCTCCGCTAGGATTGCCCTTATAATCACTTTTGTCGTTTTGTGTGTGTGTGTGTGATTTTCAGTGTTTTCACGTATGATTCTTCTGTGATTTTTTTGGCTAGGCCGATTTCTTTCAAACTTGGCAGGTAGGTCACACCTTCACCCTAGTTATTAGGAAAAATCTGAAAATTTTGTTTGGGCCCACCGTTGCCATAGCAACAGCCATTGATTTTTGGATAGCTTCGCGCCAAATATATCTTCTCCTACAAATTTAGGATAAAACACTTCAGACATACATGTAGCTCATTCTACTCAGCTTTAGTGTGGGCACAAACTTACTATTTGAATTTTTGATATCTGTTTTCATTACCGAGAAATTTGACCCCAAAGTTGGGGTAACGTTTAACTGCATAGCGGGGGAACGTAGGTGACGGAACATACATTTTGTAGTTCGCACGTTTTCTATTTTGTTATTCACTCGGGATGAACACCGATGTTGCAATACTGAAATAATACATATTTCTTTCGAGTAGTAGTTTCCAAACGGCAAAAATGTGATCGTCAAGTCGTGAAACCTGGTAACTGATCATTGTTTTAATTTTCCGAATAATCTTGTCTATTGAGACTATCGTGAATGGAGTGTGATCGACTCGACTTGACTTGTTTGCGGCCGTGAAAGGTGTGAATACTTCCCTTACCCTCAGTTTACTTTTCCAAAATTGCGAATCAACAACTTTTAGGGGAAAAACGTCACCGTCGAAATCAGTGTTAACAGATCACATTTTAACATCGCGGTAATTCACTTCCGCATTGCGTTGAAAAAAAATACTTCATCAATAATCGGAAAACTTTGACTGTATGACACAGCATTTTTATTGGTTAACGAAAGACGTGACATGTAGGTCAAAGGAAGTTGTTCAGGTCAAATTATGATGAAACCATGGCGGAAATAGCTTTGTATCGAGAGTTTGCGTACGATCTTGCCTTCGACCGTTTTCCTACAGACACGACCCATTTTTGTACCGTAAATTCAGACGATATGTAAATCGTATTGTAATAAAATGTTTGTATTTTTATGAACATGTTTGTTTCTTCATTGTAAAAGGTGTTGTTGAAATCAATGACGACTCGTTTCGCTTTTTTCCTCAAAAAAATACGTAATATTCTTCCGTGACCGGCGCTGTGAACGGAAAATGTAATTTGGATAATGTTTCGAGGTTGGGAAGATGGTTACAGTTTTAAAGGCACCAAAAATTTATTTTTTCTGAGGTGGTCCTCGAGTATAAACTTACCCCTTATTTTTCCCGATTTTACATGTTCAGGCCCCCGGGCTTATACTCGGGGAAGTACGGTAATACACGCTTCATATCAAGTGCTTTGTTTGAGTTCATCTGTATAAATATGTATTTTTTTTTATGTTACAAACTCTGAAACATTACAAAATTTAGCGTCAAAATGTTATGCGGTTTCAGGGCCAATGGTTTGCAGTGATGTAATGCAATGTCCAAATACGGGCAATGGTATATGTTGTAATACTTAAATATAAAGCAATAGTAGCGTTAGGTTGCTTTTTCATCAGATGTTATTTTACGTTTTAGGACAACCATGAAGATATTGCCCGTACCGAGGTTAAAGACAATGGTAAACCAATCTCTGAAGCCAGATACGACATAGTGACTGGCATAGATACTTTGAATTACTATGCTGGACTTGCCCCAACCATTGCAGGTGAGATTTACATATGTTGTACCTTCTACATGTATGTAACGAAGCTGGAATATGAATTCAACATTTGTGCCCAACTTTTGCGTCCTGAAAAAGAACTATACACTTATCATAATTTATTCCATGTGACCATCTCTCCACCAATCAGCATAATGTACTTGAAATAATAATTCATGTGACCATCTCTCCACTAATCAGCATAATGTACTTGAAATGATTATTACATGTGACCATCTCTCTACCAATCAGCATAATGTACTTGAAATAATAATTCATCTGACCGTCTCTCCACCAATCAGCATAATGTACTTGAAATGATAATTCCATGTGACCATCTCTCCACCAATCAGCATAATGTACTCACACAATGAGAGATCTTTTTTCTTCTGTGTTTAGGGCAACATATACAGTTACCAGGGGGATCATTTGCATATACTAGAAGAGAACCACTTGGAGTTTGTGCTGCGATAGGTGCCTGGAATTATCCATTTCAGATTGCTTCCTGGAAGGCGGCTCCCGCACTGGCTTGTGGAAATACCATGGTATTCAAACCGTCTCCATTAACTCCCTTGACAGCAGTAGTACTTGCTGAAATATTTACAGGTGATTTTATTACAGATGTTTTTATTGTTGGTTTTTAATCTCTTTTAAGCTCTGCTGTCATCGCAGAGTGGAGCTGTTGGTATGGGGGTCTCTCCGGTGTCCCGCTACCTGCGTTTCGCGTCCCGCGTAAAGTTTTCCTTTAAACGACTTCTCCTTCGAAAGTACTTGATCAATTTCATTTATATTTGTACCAAAGGTACTTGGGGTGGTCCTCTGTCAGATTTGTTAAATTTGTGTCAAAATATGCAAATTTGGATTTTCAATGAATATTTTTGTCATTTTTGGTAAAAAGTGTTATTTTCGACAACTAGTCTGAAAACGTGAGTCCCAATGCTGTGATATTTGCAGCAATGATACGTGGGGTGGTCCTCTGTCAGATTTGTGTCAAAATATGGAAATTTGGATTTTTAGTGAATATTTTTGTTATTTTTGGTAAAAAATGTTATTTTCAACAACTAGTCCAAAACCGTCAACCACAATGCCACTTTACTGCTTTTTGTTCCATGATAATGAAGTCAACGAAGCTATTTTGATCGTCAGGTCGCTTGTTATATTTATTGCCCCTTTTTTTTAATTTAAAAAATAAAATATCATATTGTATATTTTTTTTTTGGCAATGACTCAATGGTTGTTATTATTTTTATGAAAGAAGACTTTGAATGGGACTATTTTGTGGAAGATTACAAAAGCAGCATCGGGTGATGACGATATGCATATTTCCTAATCAAGATGCACAGACTATTTTGTGGAAGTTAAAAAGTTACAAATTGCCATCGTATAATGGCAATCTCAAATTTAAACGTCAAACAGTAACACCTGACTCCCAAGATCACATATGTCTGTTAGATTATTTATTTTTTCAAGAAATGATTCACTAAAAACTGCAATTACTATGAAGGTCTTTAACCTCCATAGGGCTGCAGTAAAATGTGCAATTAAATGGTGTGATGAAATCGTGATAAGCAGGTGACAGTAAGTAATACGTAGGTATACAAGTGTGAAAAATGTGTGCATTAACCTTTTCACCACCAGACTTTCTCACCCAAATTTTTCTGTGCATTTTTTCTCATATTCTTTAATATTTCTAATATTAATATTTTAAAAATGGACCCTAATTTTGGAGTCAACAGACAAAAGTTAAGTCCATTATAAGTTTTTACTCGAAAAATTTGGCTATTTTTTTTCCAGTCATCTTACAAATTGTGCAGACTATAAACTACATGTATTTTGTGAATTTGTGATGAAATGAGGGAACTGGTGGTGAAAAAGTCAAAACCATGTTGTGCTGTATCTTGCTATATTAAGCCCAGGTACTCATACTGCATTGTTTTATGACCGTTTATATATAATAACAAACACCCATAGATTTGTTGTGATATAATAGTACAACTTTCTGTTTCTGTAGAGAGTGGTCTTCCTAAAGGATCATTCAATGTAGTACAAGGTGGTGCAGAGGCTGGTCACATGCTTAGCTCTCATCCTGGAGTTGCTAAAGTTTCATTTACTGGCAGTGTGCCCACAGGAAAAAAGGTAAATATAATCTTTTACCCTTTAATTTTTTACCCTTTAAAGGAGCTCATTTTTCCACCAAAAATAATATTTTGCACATTTTTGATTTATTTTTTCATAATGTATGTGTTAATAAGGAAAATCATGTCTCGAAGTTTTTCTGTGCCAGGCAACAAAGATGGCCTTCTACATGGGAGTACAATTTATAAATTATTTATGAAGAGATTGTAAACTGGGCAAGTGCATTCCTTTTTTAGCTCCTGGTGGAGCTGTTGGAATGGGGGTCTCTCCGGAGGTGACAGTCCTGCATCCCGCGTGAAGTTTTCCTTTAAACGACTTCTTCTTCAAAAGTACTTGACCAATTACATTCATATTTGTACCAAAGGTAATTGGGGTGGTCCTCTGTTAGATTTGTTAAATTCAAAATATGAAAATTTGGATTTTTAGTGAATATTTTTGTCATTTTTGGTAAACAATTTTATTTTCGACAACTAGTCTGAAACCGTAAGTCCAAATCTTTTCAGATTTCTAGCAATGATACGTGGGGTGGTCCTCTGTCAGATTTGTTGAATTTGTGTCAAAATATGTAAATTTGGATTTTTAGTGAATATTTGTGTCCTTTTTGGTAAATTTTTTTATTTTTGACAACTAGTCCTAAACCGCCAGTCCAATTGCTTTCATATTTGCAGCAGGGATACATGGGGTGGTCCTCTGTCAGATTTATTAAATTTGTGTCAAAATATGCAAATTTGGATTTTTAGTGAATATTTTTGTCCTTTTTGGTAATTTTTTTTATTTTCGACAACTAGTCATAAACCGTCAGTCCAATTGCTTTCATATTTGCAGCAAGGATACATGGGTTGGTCCTCTGTCAGATTTGTTAAATTTGTGTCAAAATATGCAAATTTGGATTTTTAGTGAATATTTTTGTCATTTTTGGTAAAAACTTTATTTTCGACAACTAGTCCCAAACCGTCAGGTCACTTGTTTTAAAAATACTAGCGGTAATCAATACTGAATTAAATTTTTCCAAAACTGTTTTTGAACCGAGTCTGTCAACGCAGGCTCGATACCCAAGCATACCATTTAACCTCTAAATAACAGTATGCAAATTAGGTATACTGTATCTGCACATTGGCTATTTAGGTTACATTAACAAACATCCAATTACATTTGTAACTTCCTTGTAATGTTGCTTGCAGCTTTAATTTTACCCATGTCCTTATAGCATATAGCTTCAGAGTTAGTATATATTGTGAGTAGTACCTGATATATAGTATTAATTTAAACAAACTTGTTTTCAGTACCCTTATGTCAACTAAATCAGACTGAAAATGGAACTGTAGAACATTTTTTAGCCAATCAAATTAAGCTTTTCAATGATTTGCTGTGAATTCCATGGAAAATTATTTTCTGAAACCCTTGCAACATTATAAATTCCACAATATAGATAAAATATCTGTTGCTGTTTTAGTTTTTGTCCAATCAAACATTTTGATTAATCATGTAATATTATTGATGTTATTTATAAATTTTGCCATATTTCATCTTATCATACACTTAGCGTTACCCTGCTTCAGAATGGTATGCAAAGTGCGCCCTCACATCAGGGCAATGATTTCCTGTATCACTCCCGCCTCAGCATGCAAAATGCGTCATTCTAAATTATGCCACGTGTTTGAGGTCATCCCATAATAACATTGTAATTACGCCTATAAGGTATATAATATGATAAAACCTTTATGGACTGGATCTGGTTTTTGTTGCCTTCGTTCGTACAGCTATAACACACCCTTGTAAGTTTGGGTGCATCCGCCGCATGACCTCGGGCCACAAAAGCTGTATCCAGTCCATAAAGAATAACATCGCCTCACTTTTCACTTTGTCTGAAATGTATGTTGTCTATATATTTACTATAGTCTTTCAAGGCAAGTTAGTTACTATTCAGTTGACTAATGGCAATTTTATCACAGAACTACATTTATTGTACCCTAGTGTCTATACCTGCATCTTGCCTATTCCTTATTATGAGCACCATTACATCTTGCTTCATCTTTACTGCTTTTATATTGTTTTTACAGATTATGGCAAACTGTGCAGAAGATGTGAAACATGTGACTTTGGAACTAGGAGGAAAGTCTCCTCTCATTATATTCCCCGATTGTGATATGAATAATGCAGTTAGCGGAGCACTAAATGCAAACTTTCTTACTCAGGGAGAGGTAGGTGTCATGTTTACGTCAAGTGACTTTCATGATAGAGTCATGGTAATGCTTGATTTGAAGGTGCAATATAGAAGGGAGTTTTTAATATTGATTCTGCATGATGAATACATTAAACTTTGATTGTTGCATATTTATGTGCCAAAATAGTTCAATGCTGGTTCTAATATATGATCCAATTTACTGGTACACCAATTTATCTGACCAAACTGTATTAAATCTGTTTCCATGATCAGGTTCATCTTATCAGATTAATTGAAATTGAGCATTTCTGATTTTCAAAAAACATCAAATTCGGACCAGATCGGACCAGGATAGACAATTCAATTTAAAACAAATTTTTATGATCAGATTTACACCTCTGCTATATATAGATTTTATTCAATTGACTAATCCATTGTTATAGGGGTGATAGCTAGTACCTGTCCGGGAGGACATTTGTCGCCACCTGTGAAAATTATTTGCCAGAGCATTAATCCCCAGAAATACAGATTCTATTTATTTTTGAATGCAATGCCACAGAATTTTCATTAGTTAGCTATCTATTTAGGATTTTAAAATTTATTTGTAGGTTTGTTCAAATGGTACCAGGGTATTTGTTCACAAATCTATCATGAAGTCTTTCCTGGAAAAAATAATAGATCGAACAAACAACATTAAGTTAGGGGACCCTATGAAAGATGAGACAACTATGGGAGCTGTGATTAGTGCAGATCATGGAAAGAAGATTTTGAACTATATTTCAGGAGCACGGAAGGAGGTAAGAAATCTCCTGCTAACATTTTAGTGCACAAAATTGTATATTATTGATTTTGTGACCAAGCAGACTTCATTTTAATGGCTTCTGGTCTTAATCAACATTTTTGAACAAATAATAAAATGGTGTAGGTATGTGTACAAATAGTACAATATTAGTGCTAATAGTGGCATGACTATGTGTCAATGTCAGTTAGTCACATCATTATTATTATTGCAAATTAAGTGTTTTGTTATTGCACTTAAAATGATGCAATGTAAAATTCACTGTCAAATAAACCTCTATAACTATTAAAAATGTAACAATAAAAAAAATACAAGTTAAGCACTTAACATCAAGAATGTGCTTTTTACATCTTTCAATCTTACAAATCACACATATACATGTTCCAGGGCTCTATGCCCCTGAATGGTGTACAAGTTCTAGGTATTGATTCATGTATATTGATGGTATTCTTGGGGCAGACATCGAGACATTTTCATCGCCTGGCAACCATCATGGTGAAAACTTTACTTTGGGCTAGTTGCCGAGACTCTTCGTATAACAAGATTACACCTACATGTGCAGCATATATAAATTTGGTTGTTCAGGATTGTCTTGTATTTGAGTTTGTGCTGTTTTCTCAACTTTAACTGTTTTCACTGGCGTTTCATAGCAGCTCACACAGAGCCCATAGAAAAACATTGTACAGTGGTATCTGTCTTAACAACATAACAAGTTCAGTGACTCGGCTCCACCACTGAGAATATATATCACTATAACAACAATAAAACCTACCACAGTGTTATTTTGCTTTTTCTCATGTAAAATCAATTGCAGCTGCTCCTCAAATACATGTATGTACAAGTAATGGGGATTCATATTATTTTACTTAATTTTAATAATATAATCAAAGTGTGGTTTCTTGCAAATTTTTCCCAGGGTGCCACTGTACTATGTGGTGGTGAAAAGGTCATACCAAATGACTCCATGCTTTCTGGTGGTTTTTACATCTCCCCATGTGTGCTTGGGGACTGTCGAGATGACATGACTGTTGTCAAAGAAGAGGTATTTGGTCCTGTCATGTCAGTGTTATGTTTTGACTCTGAGGAAGAAGTTATTACCAGAGCTAATGATACTGTGTTTGGCTTGGCAGCTGGTGTTTTCACTAAGTAAGTACTTGTTCTACCTAAGGAAAAACAATCTTCTATTTCTCAAGGTTTCAGTAAAACAGATTATCCAACAAACAATTATTTCCATTGGTTTGATTTCTGGAAAAAACACCCTGATTTCTGGAAACACACAAGTTATGATACATTTTCAGAATTATTAATTTTGACAAAATATAATCATTTAACTGTGATCAATATTTATTATTAGTCCCCGTTCGGACGAAGTCCAAAAACGAGGACTTATAATTCGGTCTCCGTGTGTCCGTCCGTCCGTCCGTCCGGAGTCATATCTCAGAATCCCTTGGGCCGATTCCGTTCATTCTTTGCATGTGCCTAGTACTTTATGTGGGACATACATGTATGCACATGCAGCGGTTTAGCGATTCTATTCAAAATGGCAGACTGGCAGCCATCTTGTTTTTTGAAAATGTTGTATTTTGGACATGCTTTGTCAGTTTTCATTCAAACTTGGTACATAGATTATACATGTTAGGATGCATGTCCATGACGATTTATTTCGCAATTGGATCAAAGATGGTCGACTGACAGGCATCTTGTTTTTTTATGTGGTATCTTGGACGTGCTCTGTCAGTTTTCATTCGAATTTGGCTCATACATGTACTTTATACATGTTAGGACGCATGTCCATGACAATTTGTTTCAAAATCTGGTCAAGGATGGCCGATAGACAGCCATCTGACTTTTTGGCCTTACTACTATATTCCACAATTTATGTACCATTTTCATTTGTATTTGGAACATACATCATACGTATCAGTGTGTTTCATAATCAGATCAAAGATGGCCGAATAACAGCTGTTTTTATTTTTGGCCATATTACTACTACACTTGAACAATCTGTTGTATACGCCACTTGGAACTCAAGTTTCAAGGACACGCTCGCGACAATCCCTCCGCTTTAATATGATGAGCACAAAGAGAACTTTCAAAAATTTTACGGGGATTGTGTCATTTTCAATGACTTGTTTATAAAGCAATGTAAGTTTACTACATCACCAGCCAGAAAATAATAATTTATTTATTACTCGTTAGGCTCAATTACAGATTACAGCCCTGATGGAAACTATTAGAGAATATACCCAGGTTCAAAAGGAACACCCTAGGGTAACAATTCTCTAAGAAAAAGGCCTAGACTGAGGAATGATCACGTGGTCGAGGCCATTCCGTCTCAATTCTCTTTTGTTTCCGGCACAACTAACACGAAAATTTGTTCACCGGGTGCTTTTCTGAGCTTCCTCGAAATCTAGTGGTATTGGACATTCGAGAATAGCAGTTTCTGCATTACAGTAAAGGCTTTTCATTTTAAGGGCCCCAGATCTTGCCTGTTTTTGTTGAATCGCCACCTCAGTTTGAATTCGCTTGATTCTCATTTTGGCAGTGTGAATTTTCTTGTTTTTTCACGAACTCATTTCTTGTTATGTCTTTTCTTAGATTGCATCATGCCTAAGTCATTAAAAAAGACTAAGAACATGCCTTCGAAACTTCCGGCACATACATGTATGATATGTTCATCTTGCCACTTAGAAATGTCAGTTTGGGACACACACATATGTTGACACTCATGCTATGGTTGTAAATGCTACTCAGGATTTTGCCTTGAGGGAAATTGTGATCTGTGGGACTCTCAATCATGGGAGCACTTTGAGGCGGGATTTAAAGCTGAGGGCGAGCGATTGCGTAAAGCTGGTAAACGTCGCGGGTCGCCAGACGTCTGATTCTATGAGTGAAAAATCTCTCCCTCCCCTTGGTGGCCGAGACGAGGCTTGCTTTCTATCGCAGACTGAGGAGGACTGAGAGTTGCCACGGTCTGACTCCCTGCTCAATGTGGCGGGCCGACGACTGAGGTAAGACCCCGGGATGCAGCATGTTCCCTCTGGGGCGCTGACACCAATTGCGAGTCCAATCCACCAAGACTTCATTGGTGCTTACGCAACTCAGTGTTCAATTTGTGGGATACGACGCAGGAGGACCAGGGGGTGAGAGTCAGGTGGGAGGGGACGGACTGTGCTGCCTGTCCCCCTCTGCCAGGCTTGGGGTTCGAGGTGTCCCATCCTTCTTTTGATCTCTGCCTAAGAGGATTGGAGAGGGGGGAGGGGCAACTCACATCTGTGGTACAAGGGTGTCTACCTCTCCTATGGAGGTGGACCCCCCCCCCCTTCTGGACAGGGGTCCTAAGCGCACTCCCCAAGTTTTCCCACGCTTCTCTCTGGCATGGTGTGGGCAGGCTCTGTTGCCTTTGCTTCACCATGCCGCGCAGAGTGCCCCTACTTGTTCCCTGGGGGGTGCAGCTACCACTCCCTCAGGGGGGTCTTTGTCGTCTCTTGACCCTCCCTTGTTGGGAAAACACAGACTACCCAGCCAACCAGAGCCTAGCTGGAGAAGGGGTCAGAGGGCGATGGAGGGGGTAATTTGTACCCTTCGGGAGACAAGGACAAGAAGACTGATCCTGGTTTTGGGTCAGCCCTGTACCATTCCTTCTGTTGGGGATACCTCTTTGGGGCTACGAAAACAGTCAACTGATCCCTGGTGGACGGGCACTTTGGTCTAGAGTTTCGACCATGACATACATTTTAGTCCTTGGTTCTCTTCTGTAAAATAAACGCACATATTGTTATGTGTTGGTATCAGTTACTAGTATTTCATAACAATAAGTATAGGTTTATTTATAGATATCGATTTATTCTGGAGTGGGAAATAGTAATTTTTTGGCCATTGAAAAAATGGTATATGCTTGTACATGTATTTTGTGCATGTATTCATAACCAATTTCACGAGTAAGAGTCGTAACTTTCGAATGTACAAGTATCGTGACTCGTCCATATATTTCACTTATATTCATTACGCTTGAATAAAGTCGTGCGTTTTCATACTTCATGTAAACAAGCAATGTTTTTACGTCTTGTATATGTCTGTAACAATGTCAATCTTCCTGAAAATGGTGCAATTTGAAAAAAAAAAATATTTTGCAAAGTTCGCGAATGATACAAAGTATCATAGATTGTCGTTTGTTTGTGTCGTGTCATTTGGAATTTAAAAGTAGTTAATACTCTATTACTCGTTGTATCCCTAAACTTTACCATTAAAACAACAAATTCAACCACTCGTGTACCAGTGATCAGTGTTAAGGCCAGCGATTGATGTTTGGTGCAAGCGAGAAAAGAAAGTGATAAAAATGTGGTAGTTTTTTTCGGTCGAAAAAGACCCTGTGGTCGGATAATTAAGGGATAAAAACCGATAAAAGAGATTGGGCGAAATTATAGAGAAAAGTCACCAAGTGAGGACACGGTAGGTAGAAAGAGTTGGTAGTAAATGCAGGGGAGTTCAGAGGGAGAAAAGCCACCACCCCTTTACCATGAAAGCATGAAATCTCGACAGATTTGTTTTGTTCTTAAATGTAATATTAGGTTTTGAGGGCTGTTGAGTCTAAAACAAGACTAAATGATCCAAAACGAACGCGTTGGAGACATGCCTAGTATGCAGAATATTTGGTTTGCCAGTACATAATCCATTTTCAACACCTTGGCTACTCTATTGACCATGGCTGTTTATCCTGGTTTGGCACTTAGGGTGACCGGTAAACAGTGTCCAAAACGTGCTCAGAATGGTGCACATTTTTGACACGAATTAAAAATCAGTTGTAAGCTGAAATTTTCATATGCGAGGAAATCCTAATTACCAGTATGTTCACGTGTTTGGTAGTCGTAAGCTAGAGATTTTTGGTTTTCGATTGCTGAGTTAGAGAGTTTCTCCTAACTCATTTTTAACAATTGTTTTTGCTGAAATACATTGTATACTGTATATATTTTTGTCTTATTCTCCCAACTGTGATGTGGTATTTAATCTGATCGGATTACAGCTCTTAATTTAGCAAATCTTTGGATTGTTATTTTTTTGTGATACTCAAGAATAGAAATTTGTGAGTTGTGAACAAATAAACTGTTAATAAAAAGCTTTGTTTATGTAAAATCCCTATGATAAGTGGTGGGTAGAAATAAGTACAGTCTTTAGAGTGTGATTTATGTACACAGAAAAGGAGTGTATTTTTAGTCCTCGTTCGGACGAAGTCCGAAACAGGACTTATGTTTGACCTCCG